TAAAATAAATATTAATTATTTTTTAATTTTTAATTTCCTAAAATAAAGTAATGTAATCTTAGCCATTGATCAAAAAAATGAATGGATGAGATTGGTTTACACGGTTTACACAAATGGGTCAAGTTTTTATTTGAACGTTCCTCTATATATATATATATATATATATATATATATATATATGATCGTATCTATTTTGGGTCCACCTGAGACCAAGGGTTTTCCGTGAGACCCGTAAAACCAATTTATGTTCATTGACCAACTTTATAAGCTAATGATCTAATGATTTAAAGTTGCACGGTAACAATTTTGTGAGTATTGACAAGTCTCGTGACAATTTTGTGATTATGAATGTTCAGACTATAGATCTAATCCAATGCTTGAGAATTGGTCTTATAGGTTTCACGAAAAACATCTGATCTCACATGAACCCAAGTCTATATATATATATTATATAGAAGGAAAATGGATAAAAGATTATTGGAGTTGTAGATTGTAAAATGATCGTAAATATTTTGAGTTTATTATCAAATAGATAAAAGATGATCAGAGTTGCAGATTGTAAAATGAGTTTATTATTATCCAACCCGTTATGTGAGTCGATTAATTTCAGGACAACCACCTGCTTTGCGAGTAGCCCGGAGTTGCCACATTTGAACCATCATGGTCGCAAGAAGATTCGTAATTCTTTTTAGATTTAAACCTGAGACCTCCAAACACTTATTAACGTATTGAATAAAGTTTGCTCAAACATTATCAAATTGCATTTGAACTCAATTTATTAGCTACCAATCATAATTTATTTATGTTTCAATATTAATATTTGATACATATTTAATAACAAATGTGTGTTACATGTGTTAGCAAATTGTGGACAAAATAATGTGCATAAATTAAAATAAGTTATCAACAATAAAAAAAGTGAATTTGAATTTTCTTTTAGTGGATTTATTCTTTATTTTTTTTTAATAGTTAGCAACTTCTATGAACTTCTTATGACATAAGTTTAATTTTTTAATAAAATATTTTTATGATGCTTAAAAATATTAATTTTAATTGTATATTTGATATCGACAACTTTATGTTTTATTCATCTATCGAAGGGTAAAACAATTTAGGTTCGTAAAAGTTGCAACCGTATTAATTGTGTCTCTATATATATATATATATATTTTAAAACTACAATAAGAACAAGTTTTATTTGGTATATAGTTGGTTTGCAAGACTTTTATTTCACCCCAAACCTAAGTTCGAATCTTGTTACTCGGAAATTCGACAACAGAAGTCTTGAACCTTATTAAAAGTTGGACGGAAAACTAAATTTCCAAAAGAAGATTTTTGAATCATTTTATACGTTTTGGAAAGTGTTACAAAATAAAACGTATGATTAGGAATCTATAAGATGTGTTTGAAGATAACATTCCTTCTTTTCATTCTTCTCCCGTGACAATTGTCTTTCTAATTTTGTGAAAAATAATTTGTGTCCCTAAAATATTAAAATTTAAATATTTAACAGTCATATTTATATTTATTGTTCGAGGGTTGGGTTCACGTGAGACCAAGGGTTTTTCGTGAGACTCGTAAGACCAATTTATATTCATTGATAAACTTTATAAGCTAATGATCTAATGGTCTAAAATTGCACGGTGGTAAATTTGTGATTATTGAGAAGTCTCGTGACAATTTTGTGATTATGAATGTTCAGATTGTAGATCTAATCCAAGGGTTGAGAATTGGTCTTATGGGTCTCACATGATCCCAAGTCTATTGTTCGATATATATATATATATATATATATATATATATATTTGTACAACCAATACAACTTAATATTAATCGTCCATTTAATTTGATGAATATATGATTTCATAAAATTTTAGATTGTTTCCTAATATAAAGTATTGATTATAATTAATGAACCTTATTTATCTTATATAAATATTCAAATCATAATAAATGAACTCTCATCATTTCCATAAATATTTCAACTGATTAAGTTGTATTAGTTGTATAAATGTGATTAATTGCATTTGAAACGTCATCTCTCTCTCTCTCCTTCAAGTTCACGATTTGGAGTCATACGAGCATTTTCAAGATTTTTGTTTTCTAAATTATGGTTTTAATTTTGAACTTACGGGTTTCAATTTTAAGTTACAGTTTTTGATTACTAGCTTCAGACAGATTTTTATTGTTTGAAATGTTGAAGTGTTCTCGCATTTTACAAAAGTGTTACTAAATATAACTACGTGCCACTTTTAGTAACACTTTTTCAAAACCTTATTTGAATGTATTATTAATAAAGGGGTTTTCTAACCCCACCCCCTTCTATTTCTTTTCCCCTACATTTTCTACACCCCTACCTATATAATACAATAAAATAATTAAAATTTATTTATTTTATTTTTCAATTTTAACACTTTAATATTTTTAGTTTTCACCCTTCAATTTTTTAAATATTTTTCTATTATACCCTCTATGTCTTTTTATCTATACTATAATTAC